TTGCTGTTATCTGAGTAATTATTTCTGATTTCATTTTTCCCAGATCCTCTTTTGTTGCCAGTTCAGAGAGTCCAGGTGGTTGAGTATCAGGTTGTTCCATCTCATTTCCCTTTGGGGTTGCTGTAGGTGATCCAGAAGTCTGTTTTTGAGACTTGCTTAAGTGTCTTCTCATTTCCACGGTGTGTGTGGGGGTGCTTCTGGCACCCACGCGGCTCATCTTCTCTGCCCTAGGAACTTGGGATGGCAGCGGGGGAGCTTCCTTCTGGGTGGGTTGCTGGGACCGGCTGAGCTTCTCTGCCCTAGGAGCCTGGGATGGAGGCCTTTACATAGTCTTTTAAGTAGGTGAATGTGCATGCTGTGGGAATCTACACAATGAAGGTCGTCCTTGCAGTACATTCTGTGGTGACACTCTCTCCTGAGGACTCCAAATGAACCAGAATGTTTACACTCTACACTTTTACCCCTTTTTGTGATACCAACTTTAATCTACCCTAATTCATCCCCAAAGTGTGACCCAGTAAACTCACCTTACTTACTTCCAAGTGGCTGCAAATCCGTGAAACATTAAATCCTCATTCTGGCTGATTTGGCTGTTGGTAATTGCTCTTTGTCACAGAGTGTACCCTGAGGAACTCCCCACAAGGAAGAATGGAGACCTCAACTCGCCTCCCCCATACAGTAGGTCCCTCCACTTTTCATCGCACAAAAGCATTTCAGGACACATCACTGAGAGGACAGGCACATTTATTAAACAAAAATCAAAGGAGGACACTCAGAAGGGAGTGCAGGTGTCCAAGGATGAAGGGAGTACGGTCTGGACTTGGAGGTATTACTGTGGTCTTGGGAATGTCCTCAGTACTGATGATCTAGGGAGACAGGTGCTCCTAGAGTCTGTCAAGTTACCAATCCGTGGGCTTGGTTAGGAAGGGATCTGCATGCCACTGAAGTTCAGAGACATAACACCCAATTAATAGTGCTGTTCCCTTGAAGGTAGGAGTCTGTGGAGTTTATGAATCAGGGGAAAACCACAGTCCACTTTACAGGAGAAAGGAATGGACCTAATTTACAGACCTACTGTGTCTCTTAAGACTCTAGGTGTTTAGGAGTCAGTAGCTTAGAAGAGAAAAATAAGCA